GTAATCGTGATTTTATAATGGACATTGTGTGTTTTGCGCGGAAATAATGTAAACGAAACATATTTGCAAAATGTAATATTTTGTATTTTGTACTTTTTTGTAATTTTCATTTTTATGTACATTTTTCATTATCTGCTTTTGCTTCATTATAGTACTACAAGTCGTTTTTTGATACGTTGTAGAGGACATTACTTTTCCAATATTCATCCAATTTAATTCTCATTTTTGTCCAGTAAATTGTGTTACTTTCCCAATATTTGCACCACATTTCTATCTATTATTATTATGACCTAATATTATTACTAGCAATTTTTAAAATGTATCTTGATTATATTTTCATTGCGATCCAATTTCATCATGGCAATGATTTATAGTTTTTATATTCCATAATATTTTTAACGATTATGCAGATAATTAGGCAATTAAATTTAGAAGTTTTTACATATCAAATATTTATTTTTTAAAATAATCATCGACGTAAATATCGAAAATTCTTTTCATTCCTTTTTATGGGCTATTTCGAATAATAACTGGGCGCATTTAAACAACTGCAGCTTCAAAATTATTATAGACGTAAATTGATAAATATCTCATATATTATATGGAACATTTCGGTATTTACGATACCATAATATTTTTATTATGCCTTGATTTCATTTGTAATAAAAGTATGTATCTATATAGCTAACATAACAATATGAGAGTATCATAAAACTATTCGTGCAAATATAGTAATAATAGTAAAATGAAAATAAGGTGTATATTATATGTGGAGCAAGAATTGGATGACACATTTTATATCGATCGATTCCTGTTATACTTTGTGAGATTTAGTAATAGTTTTTTTTTAAATTTGCAAGCGTTATTCTGAATTATGATGTCATTGAATTACATAATCCCTGTTATACTTTGTGAGATTTAGTAATAGTTTTTTTTTTAAATTTGCAAGCGTTATTGTAAATTATGATGTCATTGAATTACATAAATTTTTTACTATTTGCTGAAATTCAATAAGGACTGGCGTTGGTGAATTTTTTTTGGCGATTGACCATACCGTTTCTTTAAAAATAGCAGAAAATTGCAACGTTTCATTAATTTTGGAATAACAGAACATGACAAAATTTCAAACTTGTGATAAAACTACAAAATTTTTAAAGTTTATACATTTCAATCCGTATAGTTTATCTGGATTATTTAAACAAATCTGGAAGATTTCAGAATTAATTAGAAAATAATGCTATAAAATTTAGTTTAAATAAAAAAAATCTTTGGCATCTATTATATCTATATTTAGTTCACTTTTGATTAACACACATTGATTGGTTTTACCAACATAGGTATGTAAGCTATTAAGCACAGGATGAAAACTGGTAACAGGCATCCTAGAAATGATATGATAGCAATCTACCAGTTATCTTGAACTTGGCAATCGAGCTATATAGGGTCATCTCCATAGCTTTGCAAAGAAATTATCAACTAACCCAACGCAACCATCTGTCCATTATAAATCATGCATCTGATGACAATACAATCCGAATCCATATTCAATTCTCAAACATCTCGTGTAAGTATCCCGATCAGCGTAATTCTGCATTACGCCTGTCGTCCATGTAAATGCCGAATTGGGCGTCGTCCGTTGTCACCGGCAGCGGCCTGAGGCCCTGCATCATCGATCTGAAGTAGCCATGCATCGCATCGGACGCGTGTGCGTCTCCCATTTCAGAGGCACACACGACACACGTGCACGGGAATCCATCATCTACCTTGTACCCATGTTCCCTGCTGGCAATGGAATACTAATTAGGCGTCAACGGAACGGAATGATGGGTTGGCGGGATCAGAATGGATTCAAATAGGAAGAAACAGTTTGTTTAAACACAAAGTACTCTTTTTGCAGTTGTTTTTCTTGGTTTAGTGTTTATAGCTTGTTTTAACAAGAATTACTTTGTTTTACATACCCAGATGATCATACTCAGTTTGATGCTCCAATGATTAGGATTGCCTAATATACCACTAATTTATATTTCTTTGATTAGTTTCACATCTAATGCAAGTATACTATTAATTGTTGGTCAAAAACATGTTCTTGATTTTCGTTCTAATTTGCAAGTGATTAAGTAGATGGTTAAAAAAAAATTCATAACAGATTTAAGTTATTCGAAATCTTTCTGCAAGATGCTAAGCCATCAACTATTTGACGTGAATATACTTGGCACCGCGATGGTGGAAATTGGCAAAACTGATATGACCTGATTTTTTGACGATTTTTTTGCTGTCAATTGGTGCAAACTAAATTTTTTTTGCTCTTTTCGTTCTCGAGATAAATGAGTGGGGCACCGACCCCTTTAAAAATGCAAAAAAATTAAAATTTCTTTTTACCATCGTTATCAGTGATTTTTTGCTGTCGAATGGTGCAATTAATTTTTAAAAGAGATTTATCGAATGCTAGATGCCAAGCCATCACCTATTCTTACTGAACTCATTTTCTACGGACGTCACCTGTAGGCGACATATATTTTTTATGTAAAGGTGAGGTCTATTGATATTGGAATTGAGCACGTGTGTCGCCTTCAGACGGCATTCCAACATTTACTTCAAAATTTATCATTATGTGTTAAACTATTGATCTTTAAATTTTTAGTTTTTAGAAGTATAATTTGTAATTTTTAATGACAATGATAGAAAAATCTCAAAATATGCTATTGTCTCATACGTTCAGCAGCGCAAATGGGCAGTTATCTGTTCCGTACAGCAGCGTCTTAAAAACACACTTGCCATTGTAGCGAAAGAAGTGACACACATGACTATTTTATCAATTAGCAAAATTGGTTTTAAATTTAATTGTTTCGATTTGGTATCTCATTTGCGAAGGTTTAAACATAGTGATTATTTAAGATATCCACGATAATTTACATAATATTTGGTAAAAACTGAGTTTGTTTCAATGAGTCTTCATTATCAACAGTTGTCTGAAAAAATACTTTAATACATGCTATCTTACCTACTCTAAAAATGAATATATTAGTTAGTTATATAGCATATTATAAGTATAATATATTTCTATATTACCTTGCATACAATATAATATATTCATTCTTATTGTTAGTATCTCGACCTTTTTCTGAAGATTTATTATACAATTTCAATCATATCAATAACTTATCAAGAAGTTTTGATGTAATATCAGAGTCTTTTAACATCGTAACTAGAACGTAACCTTAAACGTAAAATTGTAACTTTTTAACGTAAAATCAGACGATATTTTACGAAAAATTATTTTGCGGGGCAGCAGGAGATACATAAACACTGAATTTTATCTAGTTAAGTTCAAGTTTTTCTCAATTATTTGGTTAAATGATTTATTGTATGTATTATGTAAATATGCCGTATTAATATTAAAATAAAGCAAAATAATTTAGAGCAAAAATTAAATTAACCCAAATACATATTTCTATTCTAAAATACTATCCCACTGCTCTATATTTTTAAAATCACTAATATACACTAATTAATTATTCAATTAATTTATCAGAGCATATTATTTATATAATGCCAAAGTATATATTTATATTTAGGTACATATTCTTTTATGTATAAATTAATATGTTGTTATTCTTTGTTTCAGGTAAGCATTAATCATAAGCATATCGTGATTGTCTACAGTCTGGAGTATGATGCGTGAGTGAATTTAAATATTTATATTGAAATGAAATTGTATACTGACGCTCATTCTAATGAAACATAATAGAATTGTTTTTTATAAAATAATTCACATTGTTAAAAAATATCTTTGTAATACCTCTAAAATTACATGTTTTGTGGCATTTAATGTTCAAATATATTTTGTAATTTATGCTTAATTATAGCAAGGCGGGAGTATAAGTAGTGCTATCAACGATGATTCAAATCAGTAACTCTACTTTATAATAATGAGAAAAATCCGTTTTAAAGGTTAATGTTACATAAATAAAATCTTAACATAATTATGTCTAGAATCACAAAAACAAGAACCGTAACTAGTAACTAACACGCGGATAAAAATTAGCGTGACATATATACTGACTGGACAATCCAACTCGATATAAAACTCTTGTCGATACGAAACCTTTTGTCGCAAGGTCTTCTATTCAATAAAATGCAATCTGCTCCATTCGTTCATTCGTATAAAACTTTCACTAACATTGCACCGGGAAGACCATTTATTAAGTCTGTCGCTTCTAGCGATTCGCCGAGACCGTTTCTCTCAATGCGGACTCCTAAGTACTTACTACGCCCTTACACTCCACCTAACAATAAGTAAATCCCTTGATATTGCCTTCGAATGGTATGAATCAAACATTTGTATATTTTAAGCTTTAGTACGTATATACTTAGAAATTTACTTATTCATTGCTATATATCTAAAGATGAATTTTATAGATACAGGAAATATATTTGTAGCACTCTATCATGTTTTGCTGGAGTTATGGAAATTTTCGCAGTTAATTTTTTTTTATTGAGAATTAAAGTTTTGTTATTGAAATGACTAACATTTTTCATACTAAAAAATGTTTAGCAATCAGAACTTAAAAGTCCTATAAGCTGTTGTGCTGAGTTGACCTAAAACTAATCTGTTCGACAGTTGTCACACCTTTGCCTGATATATTATAATTACGATTTCTGTAATAGGGCGAAAATAAGTTCAAAGCTATTCATGAAACACGTAATAGTTTTGATTTTTCATAATGAAACAATAAAACATTAATATAACACATTTATTTATATTTCTATTCGAGCATATACATCGTTATGTTCATCAAAACTTTTGAAACTTTTATTTCTTGATGGAATGACAATCAAATAATGATAAACTCTTCGATTTTACATAACCACCAGATAAGTACTGATAAACTATTCAATTATTACTAATTGTTTGCCATCATCACTCTGCTTGAAGTAGATACTTTTTCATATAAATTATATATACAAATTTATCTAGATATAATATTAATTCAACAACATCAACTTTCACCACTTTTAGTTTCATTTGTTTTTTGTAAATCTTCATTTTTGAAATATAATCTTAAATAATGAGTTGGCATCACTACAAGTTTATCGGAAGTACCTGGATCGGCATCTTTACAAACACCTCTCACCAAAACAGAATTTCCACAATTTAGCAACATTAACAGTGCTAAACTTACAACATGTGATAGCCAATTACCTAATAGGGGATAATCTAAAAAAAATTAAGAAACGTAAATCTCTAGAAAATCTGATATCATAGCACGTTTCCTATATATGTATAGGTATATATAAATCTGTAAATAATTAAATGTACCTGGCATAAAGTAGGTGTCGAGTAGATGCCACAAACTTCTCCAAACGTTGAGTGCTCCAAATACGATTAGAACTGCATATACATCAAGAACTACGTATTTCCAAATGCCTTGTAGACGTTCATTAGCAAAATGTACCAAAGGTTCCAAACTGTATGTAATTATCGTCACTGAATAACCAATTATCTATAAAACAAAATAGTTGAAATGAATGAAATATTGTGAAGTAAAGAAATAAATCTTTAAACATTGATTGCGTTCATTGTTTTTGCCAATTAATTTTCATATCTATCTATCAACATTTTTAAGTTAAGATTTATATATTGCTATATTATAATTACTTACAAGTGATGACAAAACGCTTAGCAAAGTATCATCTGGGAATAAAATCGATTCCACGACAACCCATGTTCCTCTCCATACGACTACAATCAGAGTTCCAATGAATAATACAGAAAAGGAACAGTCTAGTATAAACTTCCAAAGGTTTTTTTGGTCCTGAAATAAAATTTATGAAAACTTATTTAAATATTTCAACAGATAGTCAACATTATTTTTAAACAAATCATATATAAAATTCATCAGAGATGAAAAACTTCGAGTTTTATCAATTTTGAGCACGTTGAATATATACTTGGTTTTATTTGATATTGCTTTGTATTTAATTTCTTATTCTTACTGTTGAAAATACACAACATATAATAGATTAAAGCGTGTGCAATTTTAAAGTTTTTTTTGGAAAATTCAATACATGTTGATTATTTTCAGGTATTATTTCATTACTTGATATATTATATCACCAGAGAATTGAAACTGATTACTTTAATTGCGCAAATCATTCATAAAGGTCAATGCCAAATGACTAATCGATCAAACTGAATTATTTATCACTTTACATATTAACTAATAACATTGCAATCACGAACTAAACTTAATTGCATTAGTAATGGAAATAAATTTTAAAACCCATATCAAGATTATTTTGAATTTTATCTATAATAACGAAATAATTATATTGAGAATATTATTTTATAATAATTATAGTTAAGAGGTCAAATTTGCCTTTATATCTTTCTTTAGCAGCGTTAATTGCATTTATTTCTAATGATAACAATAAAATATAAATATATATTGCAATAGAAAATACATTACTAGTCAAGGTTGATAAGAATTGTTGTTGATAAAATCATTTGTAACTTTTGTTTTCTCAAACGTGTATATATAGTTATCAGATAATAGCAATTATCATAGTGCTAAATGAATTTACGATGAGTCATTTACAGGTAATTTCTTAATGTAGGTCATAAATATTAAGCTAGGTTAAGAAGATCATAAATGTTGTATTGAATCTTAACTTTTACTAGCATAAGTTTTTCAAAAAGTTTGTTGATGATACCTGATGATAAAATCTATTTAAAAAAATATGTATAAAGATGAATTGAGAAAATGTTCTTAGGAGCTTCTGTTTTTTAACCAAATTATTTTTTTAAGTAAATTAAATATAAAAACTATGACTTTATTTCTGAGAGCATATCATTAACATCAGTAACAATTTCAATAATTAGAGGTGTATTATTTTATATATATATATAAAAATATATTTATATTTTTCTTCTAAATTTTAAATTTAAATTAAATTTGAACTTTAATTAATTTTAAAATTTTTCCTAATTTTTTTAACAATAAGAATGGCATAATACACAATATTTCTTACTATTTGATTAAAATACGTTGGCGTGTCAAAATAATCTTCTGTATTTCCAACAACTATGGCACAAGGGGGCGCTGAAGTATTTCTCAGAGCCTTTATACTAGCCAAAATCAGAATTGCCAAAAAAGTTATTGTAGCAACAGCTTCAATTGGTAGTTTTGCAAAAAGATCACCAAATAACCATGCACCTCGCCAAGAATTTATACAAAATAATCCATAAATTTCTGTGTAAAGTGTAGAGACTAATATGAAGCAGACTTTAGATTTTCCTGAAATAAAAATTATAAAATAATTTTTGGAAGACTTTTTAACTTTAGACTTAATTCTTTTCTTAGTGCTTCGAATTCAACAAGTACTCGTATTTCAGGTATTATTTATAAAAAAATTATATCAGTGGTTTTATGAGAGAAGAAACTAACTATTTTAACGGTTTATATACATACCTTTCATAAATCTTTTAATCGGTCCTTGTCCAAGACACATTAACAACATGCCTCCAAAGCCTACTCCTAAAGAAATTAAACTACTTTTTAAATGTTCTTCTGGAAATAAATAAATCTCCATAAGATTCCATCCTCCTCGCCAATATCCAACAGTTGCTGGACCAACAACCGCCAAGGCAAAAACCGAATCAAAAATTGATAATGTGACTTGAGATTGTAAAAGTTCTAAAGGTTTCAATAAAAACATTGCGAAAATTTAATCTTGATTTTGCATCACTAGTTGTTGAAACTGAGACACTGCAATTATTAAATTTGAGATCCTGCACTAATTTTTTTTAATGTCAAGTTCATTAAAGGCACAAATCACTTGTGTCAATACTTAGAAGAAAATGTATCACATCATATTATCACAAAATAATAATGTACAAAGAATTTTATCACTTCAATTTATTACTTACAATTAGTCTATAAAATAAACCTAATAAATAAATTATTGACATCTATTAAATACATATGCAGTGTCAACATGGTCACTATTTTAAATTTGTTTACTTCACGATAAATTTAGTTACTAAAACTCATTTTTTTTTGTAAAATTATATTTCACTTTTCGCAAATTTAAATTTTACACTTAAAATTAAATAAATATTTTTTTACTCTTATGTGTATAAACTAAATCATTCTTAGAAACAAATATTTTGTTATCAGCATTGTAGGAAATATGCAACGGTCATTAAAACAAATAGTGTTCAAGTTGCTTGTAATACATTTATATTTTGTATTTGTGAGCCAGTCAGTCAATACGTAAAATTATTAATAAATTTTAAGAATATTTGAATATAGTTTTTTTATACTTTTTATTAATCATTATGTTTTTTTTATTATGTGACAATTTAGCACATAAAGTAATAAACGAGTGAGTGAACAATTTTAAAGTTATAGTCAGTGTTTCAATTGTCAAAAACTTGCTAATTTTAAATAATAAAATTTTATGCAGCTCATAGTTATTAGGTTAATTATTTAACTATATTAGTTGTGTGATATTGGCAACATTATTCGAAAGCAAAAGTTATAGATTATAGTTTAAATTTACACAAAATAATGTCAGGAAAAAATATTTGTTGAATATTTATAATGTAATGTATTATTTGTACCTTTCGACTTCGAAACGTTCGTTATTGATTTCATGGTATAAATCGAATCAATTATCGATATAAATAATGCATAAAAATCTTTTACATAAAACATTTTCAAGAAAAGATTAAAATTATACGTCATGAAAGAACTCGTTTTTAATCCAGATATTCAAACACGTTATAGTAAATTTCATAATCGGATTAATTTCATAATTTTTCAGATAATTATTAATTAAAATATTTTTAATTGATGCTATATTTACATCATAAGATGAATCAACTATAAACAGATCTATTAATTTATTATATATGACTCATTGTATGATTCAATTTATGTAATTTCAAGGGCTTGTGATAACATTTTAGATTATTAATTGCATTTTGCTAATAAATAAATTAATATTTAAACAGATAAATTATAAGGATATTTAAATTTCAGCATATTTTTAAAGATTCATAAGGAAATTGTAATAAATAAATGTCAATAATAAATTTGAATTGAATAGCAGTTTTTTAGATTATTTTATTGGAAAATTTTCAAGAAGCTGTAACAGAATGTTATACATGGGTTATAAAATAGTGCATTTTCTAAAATTTTCAGTTATATGTTAAAATTATTATTCGTATGATTTTTGACATAGTGAAGAGTTTTAAAAGGTATCGAAAACTAAACATATACATAAGTATAAATAATATACTTATATGAAATAGTACTTTTTAAACTAATGTATGATTTAACAATATTTTTGGTTATTCAAATTATTTATTCATTATGTATGAAAGAACTAAAGAATATTTTTTATAAATCAAATTCTAATGAAAATACTGGAAAGAATACATTTGATTATTTTGCTATTTTTAGTGTTGAAAGTCCTCGAAATTTGTTTATTGTATTTTAGTCTGAATCTCTTTTGATTATTAAAAGTTGAATAAATACAATTTTTCTAGTTTCTCACATGAAAATAAGAGCTTTAGGCTGTTTAATTTAATAGTTACCTTTGATATTAGTACAAAAAACAAAAATTTAAGTATGCAGCTTTATTGTAGGATTTTAAAGCTCTCGATAAAATTTAAAAGCTCTAATTTTATATTTTTGTAAAAAAATGGTTTTATACAGAATATTTATATACTGACTTCGAATCTGTACCAGTGTTGAAAACGTTTGCGTAATATTTACATATGTTATGAATTTGTGCACTAAACCACTATTTAATATGTATTTTTTTGTATACTGTTTATAGTTCTACGAACACATTAGTCTATTAATAAACTGTAATCAACAATGTCGTTAATATTTTATTGAAACATTAGTTATCGGTTCCAACAAAAATGCACAAACAAAAACAAATCTCGCAACTTGCTCGAGCACATACACTAAGATTTGCAAATCGAACGCAACTAACATCTCGGAGCCTTCAATTCGTTTGTTCAGCATTATATTCTTCTGCATTTGATGTAATTGGATAATGATGTTTTGTGTTCCCTGAACCGTGTATAAATTTATGGTAATTTTTCAATTTAGCCTCTGATACATGCTTGAATGAGGCTAATAACGTTTCGAGATGACGAAGCAATCTGAAACTATTTGCAAAAAGTCTTTCAACTTGCGCGAGATTTTTTTTCGGTTCGCCAATCGATCATTATGATTGATGTGCACGTATGGGTCCATCACTGTCCTCGATTTTTTTCAAGTAATTATGATATTTTCTAATAGAAATCTGCTTATAAAAATAATAGCTGATTGCTTTATAAAAGATAACAAGGAATTTAAATATTCCATAATTATTAATTTAAATCTTACATCGAAGCAGCTTAGCAAAAAATGTTAATAGGCGAACATGTATTTATATTTACATCGATTATTATGTAAGCAACTACATATTACAAATTGTGTAGATTAACGATAATACCAAACAATAAAGTAATTAAAATTCTAAACTAATTGCATTATCAAGTATCTGTATTTAATTTTTCATACGTAACAATATTTACACACAATTACCATAGAAAAAATTTTAAAATACGTCTACGTTTTCTATGTTCTTAAAACAGAACATATTTGATTTCGAGTGCTCATCACAATTAAAAAATTTCACAAGATATCTCAGAACTCAACTTTTTTGTTACTTGAATTTTTTTAGTAATAAAATTTGATAAAACTTGCCAACATACTTCAGCACATTTTTTTAAAGGATGGCCTCCGAATTTATGCGAAGCTGATATATTAATTTTTGTTTTTTTTTAAATGTACAAAATGTAAAAATTTTTTTATTCATTTAAATTATTGTATGCATATACATCATATTTTGTTTAATGTGGCAAAGTTTCGGATTAAAGCTTTAATAATAATAATAAACAAAAATTTTACATGTAATAAGTAATTTAAATTAACGTATATATTTTATTGGATGTGTCTATACATAATAAATTTAAATTTGAAATTATTTCTTTTATCATATATCTGTTTGGATAATGCTAATTTGATAATGATAACAAGTCATTTGATAGTTTGCCAATTGGCTAACACATGACCACCGATGAATTCCAGTTTTTTTTTCTGTAAAACTGTTCAGGACGAACATCTCATAAGAAAAAATCTCATTATATTTTACAGTCAATTTGGCGCTTATTTCCTCTCTTGCTATTATAACGGTTGTGCAACTTTTTGGAGGGGAAAAGAAATCATTTTTGGCAACGGGTTTGGCAGTTATTCGGTTGTGGTAATAAAATTGTTTTTTTAAACTATTGCGTTATGTTGCAAATTATTTTTTACGTGTGTTTAGTTGTCCTTGATTTTTTCTAATATAAATGAAATTTCATAACAACCCGTACTAAACTAGCGACGAATAAATGTGTTCTGTGTATAATATATTTTGAAACAAAGGTAAACACAACTTGTCATTTATGGAAGACATCCATATACACAAAATGTTATGTTGACGTCGTTCATGGACGACAGGCTTTCACTCTAAAAACAGTCCAAATGATGCACCAATAAAAAAACTATCTGCATTTGAAAGCTCTTTTTTCCAAACCAAACGATATTTTGTAAACTGTGTTCTTAAAAATTTCTATCTTAGCATATCCTTACCTTACGTCATTTTGTCCTATTACTATATGGACAAATTGATTTTTGTAATGAGCTGCATTTTTTTTTAATAAATATGTCATTATGGTTCCTACTTTATTTCAAGATCATAATGTTACTGGTAGTCAATAAATCTAAGTTGAGTATAATCGATTGATGCTAATAATACTATTAAAAAACAAACTACCTACTACCCTACTACTATTATTTGTAGTGACTTGTCGGGATATCCTAATGTATTGATAATACGGCTTTTAATTATTTGTTTTGCTTTAGTTCTTATGTTAAGTGGGATTGTTTATAATTACTATTTCTTTCTTTCACAATATAGAATGCAATAGAAATTTTCTGGCGTGTGAAATAGCTTCTTTTCTAAATTCATCGCGCACCTTTGTGTCTATGATTAAATAGAGTCGTTCGCTGCACGTTCCAACTTCTATGTGTTGTAGTACTTTCGAGGAAATTTTCAAGACGGAAAACTTCACGAAATCAATTTACTTTATTTCTGCTCAATTTGCAGAAAACAAAAATAGCAATTCATTTCAAACTGCTAAAAACATATTGGACGTGGAAGTTGGAACATTTAGCAATGATTTTTTATTTTATTATAGATATAAAAATAATGATATAATTTTATAAAATATACTAGACATCAATTTTGTAAAATATAATAGAGACTGAGGTCGTAATTAAAAAATAATGCCAATTCTAAAAAAACAAAAATGTTTTAAATTAATGTGGTGTTTGCATATGAATAATTAGCTATTACAAATTTCTTCAACATTCATCACCTTTATCATACAAAAAACATAATAGATATAATTAAAAAAGTGGAATAATTGAATCAGTGTCTAGATAAAATTATAAAATATATCTTGATTAGTATTTAGTTTTTTTTTTAATTAACCTTTCACAAAGCAATTTTGCAAAAAGGTCCTATTTGCTATTCTAATTTTTTTTCGGTAAAATTTAATAATTAAATATTAAAGATATGATTTTTTAGAGTTATTATTTTAATACAAT